CTACACTGCTACTACTACTACTACTACTACTACTACTACTACTACTACTTACTGCTACTGCTACTTACTACTAACTGCTACTACTTACTACTACTACTACTACTACTACTACTACTACTACTACTACTACTACTACTACTACTACTACTACTACTACTACTGCTACTACTACTAACTACTACTACTACTACTACTACTACTACTACTGCTACTGCTACTACTACTACACTGCTACTACTACTACTACTACTACTACTACTACTACTACTACTACTACTGCTACTACTAACTATCTACTACTACTTACTACTACTGCTACTGCTACTACTACTACTACTACTACTACTACTACTACTACTACTACTACTACTACTACTGCTACTACTAACTACTACTACTACTACTACGCTACTACTACTGCTACTACTACTACTACACTACTACTACTTACTACTACTACTACTACTATACGCTACTACTATTACTACTAACTGCTACTTACTACTACTACTACTACTACTACTACTACTACTACTACTACTACTACTACTACTACTGCTACTACTTACTACTACTACTACTACTACTATACTACTACTACTGCTACTACTACTACTACTACTACTACTACTACTACTACTACTACTACTACTGCTACTACTACTACTACGCTACTACTACTGCTACTACTACTACTACTACTACTACTACTACTACTACTACTACTACTACTACTACTACTACTACTACTACAGCTACTACTACTACTGCTGCTACTGCTACTACTACTAACTACTACTATCAACTACTACTGCTAAAGCTTTACATTTAAATACCACATATTGATAGTGACTGTGTAGAGTTATTTGCTCATAACTGATCGCACGGATGGAAAAAGCAACAATATGGAACCTTACTGATCCGGTATAATCTACAAGTGTTTTCTGTAGAGTCAGTTGCCATGACTTCAGCAGCAGCAGATCATAATAATAATAATAATAATACAAACACATCTCTACTATAGAGACCAGAGAAGAGACGGTCAATATGAGTCCAGCTTTAATCTGCCCAAAACCTCTGAGCCAACAAAGACCTGTGCACCAAGTCATATATTTTACACTATGGGAGTTTCCAGTATCACTAAATTACGGTGTGGTCTATTTTTGAAGGTATTTCTATAAAAAAAATCTCACTATACACATGTAACGTCTTATATTTTAGTGGAAATCTATAATTAAATGTTGTTAAAAACTGTAGTTAATTTGTAAAGCAATAATTATGTTATGTGAGTTGTGTGGTCTTCTGTGTCTTTTCTTTTTAAATTTATTTATTTAGCTTTAAGCATTTTAACAATTTTCATTTATTGTTTTTATTTATGATTTACTGTCTTTTATTTTATTAATTTGTCTGTGCAGTACTTTGGATGTTTATAAACTGTGCTATATAAATAAAGTGGATTTGGATTTAGTCCTGGTTAAATCCAGTTTTAGTCCTTGTCCTGATTTTAGACCTCATTTAGACCTCGTTTAGACCGAGTTCAGAACTAGATTAGAACTAGTTTAGACCTCGTTTAGACCTAGTTTAAACCTAGTTCAGAACTAGATTAGAACTAGTTTAGACCTCGTTTAGACCTGATTTAAACATCGTTTAGACCTCATTTATACCTTGTTTAGAACTAGTTTAGACCTTGTTTAGAACTAGTTTAGGCCTAGTTTTAGACCTTATTTAGAATTAGTTTAGACCTCATTTAGACCTCGCTTAGAACTAGCTTTAGACCTCATTTAGACCTAGTTTAGAACTACTTTAGACCTCGTTTAGAACTACTTTAGACCTCATTTAGACCTTGTTTAGAACTACTTTAGACCTCGTTTAGAACTACTTTAGACCTCATTTAGACCTTGTTTAGAACTACATTAGACTTCATTTAGACCTAGTTTAGACCTCATTTAGACCTCGTTTAGAACTACTTTAGACCTCATTTAGACCTAGACCTCATTTAGACCTCGTTTAGAACTACTTTAGACCTCATTTAGACCTAGTTTAGACCTCATTTAGACCTAGTTTAGACCTCATTTAGATCTTGTTTAGAACTACTTTAGACCTCATTTAGACCTAGTTTTAGACCTCATTTAGACTTTCTTTAGACCTCATTTAAACCTCATTTAGACCTTTTTTAGTCCTCGGTTACTCCTGATTTTAGTCCTTTTTTTTAATAAGTTAGATTAGGCTTCTGATTTCTTTCTTTTCTTAGCCCAGGTTTCAGATTCAGTTTCGTTATATGTAGATTTTGTTTCTTTGGCACAACTGGCACTAGTTAGCTATCCAAACAGCTAAACATGGACCCACAATAAACTTCACAGACAGCGGATGTCTTTGGTGAAATTTACTGGGCCCACTTTTGTGAAACTGCAACAATAAAAACATACAGAAATGGCCATTAAACAGCACCAACAATGAAAGTTACGGTCAGTGAATCTAAGTAGTTAGCATGACGATTAGCATCAGGAAATAACGGAGTAATTTACATAACAATTGTGCCCCAAAACGTGCTGACTCATACATTTCATTTATAAAAGGCAACATTACAGCTGTATAATTATGTTTTACCATGTAATATTTACAGACGATGCTTAAACAAACAACAAAAGGAAACACCAGAACAGAAGAGCGGCCATTTTGTTCAAGTGAACAACAACTTCCTGTCTAACGTTCTTCTACTATTATTAATAAAAGAGTAAATTAAAGCAGCCTCTAGATGGCGTAATTTAATCAAGACTAAATCAGTGAAATGCAGTAAACAAAGCAATATTAGTTATGTCCTTTCGCTGATAAGAGAAGTAAACAGTATCCCTCACCTAAAAAGTTCCAAACTACATCTTTAAGTAAATGTTAGAGTGATCCTGAGCCTATAGGAGCCTGGGTTTGTTCACAGGCGTCAGATCTGTGCAGTTCTGAGCTGTTATGTCTGACTCACAAACACATCACCTCCTGTGTCGTCTCAGACCTGGTCCGGGCCTGTACACAGTCAGAGACAGAGAGGACCAGTCACACATGGGCTTTTTCTGGCCTGCACTATTTTCACACAGAAACCATGCTGGAGGTACGTTTTATGCCATAACACAGAAGATTATTGCCAAAAGAACAACATTTCCAAGGATAAAGCAGGAAGAGGCTATTCATTCTAATTTAATTTCTCTCCAGCGACTAGGTCAGGAGTCAGAATACACTAGACGGTTTATAAGAACCCCAGAGGTTGTAGACGCGTACTGGCCAATCAGCCTGACCACGAGCTGTGAAGCCATGATGTCAAACTCAAGCACCTGTCTGTGTCCCTTTTGTGGAACAGCACAACAGTAAACAAAGCGTCGAGATGGATGTAGACGAAGACAGACATTCTGTGTTGGCAACGATTCCCGAGATCGAGGATTTAAAACCGGAACAAAGAGAATGTTTTGTGAATTTTGTCAAGGAGAAAGACGTTACTGCCCTTTTTCCTACTCCTTTCTGGCACATTGCATAAGACCAAATAGCAGCGATTGGTTAAATAAAAAAAGTACCCGCCTACCATTGAGTGAACGAATCCTAATGCTGCAAGGTCAGATGGTTTCCACAAAGTGAAACCGGCTGATGAATCTGGTTAGGAAGAGACCATCCTCCAGGTCAAATTGGTAAGTTTAGTAAGAGTAGGTTTGTGGAGATGCAAGCCCACTCAATACAGGTTTGAAATGAATTTAGGTTTTGAAATGAAATGTTTTCATTTACATTCCCTTTTTGTTTTGATACAATCAAAAACAATACAGTTTGTGCTTTCTTTATCATTATTATTAGTTTGTATGACCATAAACAAAAATCAGTCTTATCAAACGTACATTTTTTCATTCTCATCGTGGTTCATTTTATACGATCATCAACAATAAACTTTTGTGCCTTCGTTAACATTAGTATTAGTTTGTACAACCATAAATGGGAATAAACTGGTATCTTTAAAAAAAATGAAGATAAGAACTAAGAAAAAAAGTGATTATATTTCTGTTAGAGGGTTAGTATATGGAACAATCTCTGGAATGAATGAATTATGCATTAAATTTTGTTTGTTTTAATTCATATTTTGTCTCTTATATACAGTAAGTCATAAGTGAAAATGTAAACACAAACTTGTTGTTCATGCGCTGCTTTTCTTTCTTGAAATTCTGTCATTGTTTAATAGGGTTTGGCGTTATAAGTACTTTTTACTTCAGCCTAAACTCTTTCAGTCATGATCCATGGGGTTGTAGTCTGTTTTGTTTTATTTAGTTTTGTAGTGCTGCAAAATGACCGAATAAACTACTATTACTAAAAAAAACCAAAAAAACAAACATCCACTGACAATGAACTCGATTTGTTGGCAGACATACTTAAAACAAGTCTTTTACCTCTGACGTAACAATCCTGCGAAACTAAAAAAATCAACATTTTGCTTTCCCATGTTATATGTTATTGTTCCCTCATCAAAAACATGCCAGAAAAGGTTTTATGCATCATCCCGGGCCTTACTCGAACCCTTTAAAATCTGAATATTAACCTGGATACAACTAGTTTTGACCAGGTTAGATTTGATTTGATTTATTGTCGCATAAATTTGTCTGGTTACATGGTAATTTAACTTGAAATTTAGCTTCTCTCCTGTCCTTTCTCTCTCCCCTCCTCCCTCTATCCTCTTCTCTTGGTGCCACTCATATAAAGTTGGTCTCGTTAGGGTTTGCAGAGTGGTATAAGGATTCCCTGTCAGTACAACTATCCCAAAACTCCAGCCGGCTCCTCCGTGACAGACACTGAGTCCAATTCTCCCTCTCGAGAATCCGTATCCTCCATTATTTATCCACAAGCTCCACCAATACAAGACCCTTACTCCGTCTCTACCCCCGCAACCTTTTATATTTTTTATTTATTTATCCCCCTTTCTTATTGCCTGACTTCAATAATTCAAAGGTGTATAATAAAGTCACAGAAATGTTCCGTACCTCGGGTCATGACGATTCCGGCCAGAGACTTGTGGCGAGTGTGTGCGGAGCTGCAGCTTCCCACCAGCGCGCGGTACTTCTCCTTCACCAGGTGGAAAACAGAGTCGGCAAAATCCTGCAAAGGAATACAAATGTGGAGTTAATTTAAACGTAGAAGTGTGAGTAAAAGGTACAATGTGTTTTATTTTTGATTGAGAAAATGGAAATGTGCCGTTAAAATATATTATGACAAGGATCACCACTCAACACCACTACTACAAGAACAAAATAGTCCATGTTTTTGCTAAAATAGGCAAAAACAGGGGTCCCTAACCTTTTTTGCATCACGGAAACTGGTTTTATATCAGACATTGCCATCTTTGTTTTGGTTCATTTGGACCTGTGAACACGTTTGGCTCCGAAACAAACCACATGAACGATTTTGTCATTGAACGATACAAAAAACATAAAAATATCAAACAGAAAACATACAAAAACAGACGATGATGTAATGTAAACAATTCAATTAATTATAATAAATAAATAAAAAGAAATAGAATAAAAATAAATAAGGAATAAAATCAAGCTAAAACCAGTTAAAGAAAGGCCAACCGATAAAAATGAATCTTAAGAAGTGATTTAAAAGATGATACAGATGGTGTGAGCATTATCTCCTCAGGCAGGTCGTTCCAAAGCCGAGGCGCCTGGACTAAAAACGCTCGCTCAGCCTTCGTCCGGAGCCTGGACTCTGGAACAGCCACAGGGACCTGCCTGAGGATCTAAGGCTGTGGGAGGAGGACTTGTACAAGGTTAAAAGTTCTGAAATGTAACTTGGTGCAAGACCTAAAAGCAGGGGTGGGCAACTTTTCGGCTCGCGGGCCACATAGGGTCCTAAAGTTTGACTGAAGGGCCGGACAGAAGACAGGACATGACGTGTTAAGAGCTCAGATTCATTACATTCATATTGACGTTTATGTAGGACTCTGGCATCACACTACGCGCTTCAAAACTACATAAAAAGTAAAGACCTGTTCCACTGCACACCACACGTGAACAAACAGCTGAGCTTAATGTTTTCAAATCCGACTAAAAATAGCTCAAATTCAAAGCTCACACCATTTAACCACACATATACAACCACAAGAGCAGTAAAACCGACTCTATGAAGTTGTAATTACTAAACATTACAACTCTTTTTAATGTTTTCAGTGTTTGATTTTTACCAATTTGAAATGAAAGCATTGCAGCCTTATATCTTGAACACTTCTACTTCACTCATGGTCCGAATAACTCCTGTAAGAACACTTTCCCATAAAGCATTGCGGCCAACAAAATACGCCGCACCTCAATGTATATATATAGTGCGCCATCTACTGGGAAACGCCAGAAATGCATGACAAATAAAACATCAACAAGGTTTATTATTGTAATTTATTCCAGTTCGGCCGGATTGAAAGGTTTAAAGGGCCGCATACGGCCCCCGGGCCGTAGTTTGCCCACCCCTGCCTAAAAGTGATCAGTAAAATCTTAAAATCGATTCTAAAACACACAGACAGCCAGTGAAGGGACGATAAAACAGACATAATGTGTTGATGTCTGTTAAACCCAGTGAGGAGCCGAGCTGCTGCGTTCTGAACCAGTTGGAGGCAGGAGTCGGATTTGGAGTCAAGGCCGGAGAGGAGGGAGTTGCAATAGACTACACTGGAGAAGATGATGCATGGATAAGTTTTTCAAGATCAGGGTGGGAGAGGATAGTTTTGATTTTGCTAATTGTGCAGAGGCGGAGAAAACAGGACAAGTTTACCTTATACCCACACCGCATTGTTACTTGGAATAAACTGTGATGAAATAGAAATAACCTGCAAATAACCTTTTTCATGAAAAAACTTAACACAAACACAACACACCGTCACCTCCTGCGTCACCTCAGACCTGGTCTGGGCCTGTACATGGGGACTAGTCACACATGGGCTATTTCAGGCTGCAATTTTATTTTCACGTACACTTAAAATAACTTAGTGATAGTAAGGACCTTTCCGAAGGTAGAAAGACACCTGTATGATTCAGTGGGCATAGAAGTTTAAAACCATACTTTGGAACATTGTGATATGAGATACATTTTCTGCCGTTATATGGAAGGTTATAGCCAAAAAAAAAAACCCCAAAAAAAACATTTCCATGGAAACAAACAGGAGGAGGCTGGGAATAAACTGGGACCAAAGCCGGGTACAGGACTAGTACAGATTTAGTTCTAACTTTTCATAACAAAACTAAATAAAACACAACATTTATATTCTTTCTATCTCATTCTGCTTTAATAACAGCACTGTCTTTGTGATCAAACCTGTAAAAATACTCAGTCGATCGTCACAGTTAAACAGAGGAGCGTCTTCAGCTCTGTGTGGTTGTAGACTTATACATTTTTGTTATACTGTCTTATTTTTAGACCCAAACAATGACGCATAATTGGTAGGTTAGTGTCCGGTCCAACACGTTGCATCATCACATACACACAAAAACACACACAAAAACACACACACACACACAGAGCCTGGTTTGATGAGCATGTGTCAAATCTGTCACCGGGAAAGAGGAGGTCATTATAAGAGAGACGAACGAGAATCACACAGACATGATGCAAAAGTGCTCCTCATTACTTCACTATAACGCAGTACTAGTAACAGACCAAATGGAGTGAGTACTACTGATACTTCGCAGCTACAGTCTTCAATATTCCCTGGGGCTGTGATGCTGACCGTAGGCGCCGCTCTCACGTTTGTGTTGAAAATCAAACATCTAAACAGGAACATGAACGCTCGTATTGATCGTTTTGTAGTTTTTCTTGTAGTTTTCAGACAATCTAATCACTTTTTTGGTTTGTTTTTACGCACAGACAGGACACCTCCAGCGTGATGTCCCTGCAAAGTATCAACACACAACACCTCCAATGATGTTCGTTTGGTCTTCTGATAATTTATGTTATTAGGTTCTTTTTCAGTCCAAGAGTTTATTTTCATATCTTTTTGAGAGCTTTTGTAAAGTGAAGACAAATTATGCTTTATTAAGTATTTACTAAGCTTGAATTATTATTAATTAAGTCTTTGTTCATGCTTTATTAAGGCTAAGTAAGATGTAGTTATTATAAAGTGTTACCTGCGATTGGTTCAGAGTGTTTCAGAGTGTTCAGCGCATTTCCGTGGTTTGACAAGCGCTAAACTGCTACAGTACAAAAGATGCACCAATATTTCTTAAAAATGTTGGAGTACTGTATGACGTTAGTGGTGATTTTGGTGACTTTTGGCATGTGTTTCTTTTTCGATGGCATCTACAAGTGGAAAAAAGCGATCCATGGTCACCTATTTTCTTATTTACAGCTGCTATTTATGTTGCTCTTTACATATTATTTTAAATCCTCATTGTTATTGTTGTTGTTAGGTACGGTGTCGCTCTGCACACAAGTATCGTCTTATTGTTAAATCTGTCCACTAGAGGTCAGTGTTTCTCCGAGGCCTCAGACACGTCGAACCATTTGAGACGATATTGCGACTGAGGTGTCGATGCTTCACGAGGCTCCATTCGCCCACTACTACAACTTACCCCCGTGTAAGTGTATAAGTTGTGTTACAAGGGTGATTCATGCAGGTTTGAGTCATCTTTATTCTCCCGTGTTCATTATGTCACTGCGTCATCACTCCTTCCTCCAGATGAAAAAAAGTGTTACTCGATATAGTGTGATGTGCAGGTATCTGTGGGAGGTGCTGACAGCCTGTGAGACTGATGTGATTTAAGTTGGCTCCCATTTTCCAACGCAGAATCAGCTCACTTGTTGCTTTTATTGTAGTTCTTTTAGATCAATATGTTAATATGAGCAAAGTATAACAAAATAATTCATGGATGTCATAGATTAGAACTACTGTATGCAGCAGACACAAGATATTTAATTTTACTGTATTTTTATTTAATTTTATTTTAATCTAAAACAAATTTGGAGTTAATCTGAGTCAAAGTCCTTCACCGGGTGAGGTATGGGCAAATAGTTGCTGAAATGGGCGGGTTTTAACGTTCAGGAATTTTACGGCCGGGTAGTGATTACACACGGACAGGTCAGGACTAAACCAGGACTAAACCAGGACTGATCTTGGATTTAAGAGAGAGAACCCCGAGCTGGTGGAGCAGGGTGTCCGCAAAGCGTGATGGAGCGATGACTGCGCTTCGCTCCATGTGGTATGGAACTCTGCGCTGGTGCTGTCGCCTGCGGTCACCCAGAGGCCTACGCCGGCGCACCTCAGAGAGTTTGAGCCCGTCCTGACAGTGAGTCCTGGTTCAGTTGGGGTTCAGTCGTGGTTTTGTCCTGGTTCAGTCCTGGAATCAGTCCTGGGTTAGTCCTGGGTTAGTCCTGGGTTCAGTCCTGGGTTAGTCCTGGGTTAGTCCTGGGTTAGTCCTGGGTTAGTCCTGGGTTAGTCCTGGTTCAGTTGGGTTAGTCCTGGTTTTGTCCTGGTTCAGTCCTGGTTTGGGTTAGTCCTGGGTTAGTCCTGGGTAGTCCTGGGTTAGTCCTGGGTTAGTCCTGGGTTAGTCCTGGGTTAGTCCTGGGTTAGTCCTGGTTAGTTGGGGTCTGGGTTTTGTCCTGGTTCAGTCCTGGAATCAGTCCTGGGTTTAGTCCTGGGTTAGTCAGTTGGGTTCTGGTTAGTCCTGGTCAGTCCTGGTTTAGTCCTGGTTAGTCCTGGTTAGTCCTGGGTTGGTCCTGGGTTAGTCCTGGGTTAGTCCTGGGTTAGTCCTGGGTTTGTCCTGGGTTTAGTCCTGGGTTTGTCCTGGGTTTGTCCTGGGTTAGTCCTGGGTTAGTCCTGGGTTTGTCCTGGGTTAGTCCTGGGTTTGTCCTGGGTTTGTCCTGGGTTAGTCCTGGGTTAGTCCTGGGTTAGTCCTGGGTTAGTCCTGGGTTAGTCCTGGGTTTGTCCTGGGTTTGTCCTGGGTTTGTCCTGGGTTTGTCCTGGGTTTGTCCTGGGTTAGTCCTGGGTTAGTCCTGGGTTTGTCCTGGGTTAGTCCTGGGTTAGTCCTGGGTTTGTCCTGGGTTAGTCCTGGGTTAGTCCTGGGTTAGTCCTGGGTTTGTCCTGGGTTTGTCCTGGGTTAGTCCTGGGTTAG